CAAACTCAGGGAGGCAGTGAAGGACAGGAAGGCCTGGCGCGATGTGGCTCATGGGGTCACGAAGAGTCGGACATGACTTAACAACTGAACAACAACTTCTGCCCACTGAGCTATATAGTTTTATTATGGAGTATCTGTTTTGCCTAGATAATTTTTTGTAATGTCTTTTATTTGGACTGTTTGTTTTCTTACTATTCTATGACTTAGAAATGCCAGTGGAATCTCATTTGGGATGTAGCAAACCCTGTTTTGCCTGGAATAATTTTTTTTTTCTTTTTAAAGCTGATGAATCAATCCTTCCCATTCATTTTTTGTTTGCAAATTTATTTTTCTAAAGTATCACTGAGACTTAATTGCTTCTGATAGTTGCTCTTTTCCAAAGTTTATATTTGGTTTTCTCTCAATATTACTAATACATTCATAAACCTCTAGTTTCTCCAAATATTGCTGCTGATTTACATGCAGTATTTATATTTCAGTTTGTGTTCTACTATCGAATTCATTAATAAGAACTTATTCAGATGTCCTGTGAGTTCTCTTGCTCCTGTTTAATTCTTCTTAATCAAAACCGGGACAACCCGCAATCTTTCAATGGATGTCACACACAAAAGAAGGACGATGTCAGGATTAAACAGGCGTCGGTTAGCAATGGTGCTTCCATGTTTAATTTCACTGTGGTAGGCAAATTGTGATGTATCCCATTGATGTAGCCCTAAAAATGCTAAATGCCACCTGAGATTTGGGATATATGCCACACTTGCAAGTCAGGTCCATCCCCACTTCCTAACTTCTTGCTGGGTGAGGCCAGAGGGACAATCCGTTTGCAGGCGGCTGGTCAAAAGAGTTGAAAGAGAACGGACTGGATCAATTCTGCACAACTCCGTTCTGCATATAATCCGGGCTCTACAAGGCTCGGCCTACCTCTATTTGTAATCATTATGGACAAGTAAATCTATACACGGTTAAAGGGGAGAAATATCATTTTTTTGCATCTGAAAATCAAACAATAAAATGAATTCTAAGTTTATTTTTTCCCCAGTTCCACTCTGAGTACTTTTTTTTTTTTGGAATTTGTAATGCTTTCTTTCATTTTTAGTAAAACTAAGCTTCAGCCTATAGGAACATTCACGCTGAAGGAATTAGAGTTTCCTTTTTATTACCACCCTGAATACTTCTGTTCTTTTGCTTTTTGAGATTTTTTTTAAAAATTGCTTTGTATTTTTCTTTTGGCTTCCTTTCAGCCTTTTTCCTATTATTCATTTTCGGATTTCAATGTATTCTTTTTCTGCTATTTGTGACTTTTTATCTTTTATCTTTTAGTTTTCCAAAAAGATTGTCTCGGTTGGGTTGGTTTTTCTTTCCTTTCACGTATGGAAACGCTGGTTTCCTTTTCTGTTTGTGACGTCTCAGGTGTCTTGTGGAATGTAAAATGTCCTTAGATGTCCTTCCAAAAGGAGACAACTTCCTTAAGCTGTTGGGTTTTTAAAAAACAAGAAACATATGTTCTTCCACTCGACTTTATAGCACTGAATCAAAGGTTACTGAGGAGGAAATTCATCATTTTTTAAATAATACGGCTCTCCTGAAGCTTACACGTGACCGTGCTGTTTATCTAGCGGCACCCTTATCTCTATAGGAAATAATAGACACGGCTCAATCTGTGAAAACAGGAAAGGCTCCGAGTGCCAATGGCTTTACTGGGGGCACAAGGCATACGCTGATTCCCCCACTTCTCACTCTTTTTGGAGGCTTATCATGAAGCTGTTTGGAACGAAGGATTCCATTTCCTTTTAATGAAGCTTATTTTATTTTATTTTATTTATTTATATGTCGCATTTATATCACCGCCCAACTCCCCCACAAGGAGGGACTTGAAGTTTGAGTCTGAAGTTTGCTGAAGGTTCTGCTGAGTGGAAGCTATTGCGCAATCTTCTTGTTAGAAGTTGAGCCAAAATTTTGATGGCAACCCTGCAACATACTCTGCGGTGATATTTAATTATCCCTTTCTACAGTCTTGTCTTATGAATGGCTGACATGCCTCAGATAATATTAGATTAATCATTAATATTTATTTATTTATTTATATTAATATTTCGAATTTAGACACCATCTAACTTTTTTCTCGTGGGTGTTAATATATCAAACGATCTCAGCTTAACCACTTTATCGCTGGGCACATGGTCTCACCTCTGTTTCTCTACACAATTTAAGTGGTCAAGCTTAAGAACCACTAGAAGCACAGTTAGAAGGTCCGTATGTGAGGTCTCCAGCATTGCGGGAGGCCTTTGGCTCCATTTTCAATCACGGTTTGAATCAAGGGTCTTGTTCACAATATGGCTTCCATTCTTCAAGTGCTGCAGAAGTCCCTGAAGACCTGGTGGTGTTCCCAGGCCGGGGTAAAGGGTGTTTGTGGGGCCCCTGTCGAATCTTTGGCAATGTTGTTGCTGTTGCTTTGTCCAGGTGGTCACATTCCTGTAAACTGTGTATTGTAAATACTGCAAGCCACCCAGAATAATAATTAAAAAAAAATCGAATGAATGAATGAATGGATGAATTGAATTTATCTTCTCTGTGATGTCTTTGTCCCTATCTCCTTTTCCTGGTGTAGGAAAATGTACTATTTCATATTTATTAATATATAATTACTTGAGATATCCTATTAAATTGTTGTGCTGTGTTTTTTCTGGGCCTCTTCTCAATTCTGCGTTACGTTTCCATTTCTGCATCTGATTTTCTCTTTACCTTTAATCTGTTAACATCTTTTCAACACGGGTCGTCTAGCAGTTTATCATCCGCAATGCAATGGCATATTTCCCGCTGCAGCCGTCTTACTGCAAAATTGACTTGGTGGACCTTTCTGCGACTTCGCGAAGATGTACCTCAGAATGATCGTGTCCTTATTCTGTTCCTTACAGCAAAGCGAAGCGTGTCCTGCAAGCACCCGATGACCATGTTTGTCTGTCCGGCAAACGACCCCAGAGCTAAAGGAGTGGAGTGCATGAAGACCTGCCAGACGTACGAGCTGGGCTGCGTCAGTCACGGGTGCATATCGGGCTGCCTCTGCCCCGCTGGATGGGTAAGGAGGACGGGACTCTTCGAGAGGCGCGCGTGTGCGGGAACGAGCCCACGTGTTCTTCTAGCCTTGTCTCTCTGTCCCTCCTAACTACCATTCCCTCTGACCCGTGAAGGCTTCTGGTGCGTAACCCTCTTCTGGACTGTATAGCCGGTCCTGTGCGGAGGGAAGGTTGTGCACAGATTCAGTTACCGGGATGAACAAATTCAATGTCAGTTTGCCCGAAGCACAGCCACGTGCCCTAGCTGGGTCAGCGCTCCTTAGAGTTTCTGAGTCATCTGAATGCTCACTCAAATCTTCTCTTTAAGGGTTGGGGTTAAAAGATGGGTGGGGGAGACGGCCGCTCTATTCGCCGTGGCAGTGTGAATAATGCGAATGATGTCCTTTGCCTCCTTTATAACTTGATGGGAATCAGAAATCACAATCTATATGGTAGCTAAGGGTGGGCACCAACTTGATGGCACTTAAGCAGTCAATCTGCGGAATCGTTCAGCCGCGCAGAGAAATGCTCAGCAGTTTCGATTCTAAAGGCAAACGCAGAGATCGTAAGTCAGCGCACCTTGATGCTGTAGCGCGGTCTGCGTGCTGTAAAGATCAGGGACGGGAAGCGGTTGTCTGACAGGCTGTTCCTTTAATTGAAAATATGCAGTAATCAGAGGAAGTAGCCAAAGGAAAATGGGAGCTAAATCCCCTGCAGGACTTCTTGCCGCGGAGGTCAGAGTAGATCTGGAGAAGTATCGCGCTTCTTGCCCGGGCAAAGAAGGCAGGTGGGTTAAGCTTGTAGGATTAGCACCCAAACACCTGCGCCAAAGAGGAGCATTTGGCACAGCTTTGTTTAGCTTAGCCCAAGAATGGAGAATTGAAAGGAGATTCTTCAAGAGAAAGGGGGAAAGGATTTGTGAATTAAGGAGGAGAGACATCAGGGAGATTTCCTGATAATAACTGGGCCACGTTGCTGGTTTGGGTTTGATGATAGCTGGTTTAGTTTGGGGGAGGAAAAGAGGATATGAAGGAGACTGTAAGTTGAACAGGATTTTCTTCTCCTCTGACTGGGTGAGTGAGGGCTCTTTCTGTGGGAATGTATTTATTTATTTGCTGGGGCTTATGCGCCCCTCCAACCCAGCAGGAATCTGAGGGGCCCTAATTTCTTTCTTACAGTAAAAGAGTTAAAATGCAAAAAAAAAAATTTAAAAATGACATCATTTTTTAGCAAACTACAGCCCTAAACAACAGCCACTGAAACTCCTGAGACGGTAACGAAGGCCACAGAGAACAAAGCATTCAAGCACGACCCACGCAAATTAAAGGAAAACAAAGTCAAACTCTCACTTCGCTAATAAGGGGCTTCCAGGGGTCTCCACAGGGAGGGTCACTGGCTTCAAAATGGTGCATGTGACTGGGGGATTGAAGGAGCAGGGCTTTGACCACCCGCTTGCACCTGCCACATTGGAGCTGCGACCCACTTTTTAGAGTCTGCCTTTTGGCAAGGATTGTGAGAACAGGCATTGGGCTTGGTTAACCTGGTTTGGTAAGTTGTATCAAGCCAGCAGCAGAAATGGTCTTTGCCCTATTCAGTTGATCGCTCTTAAAAAGCCCTTGCTGCGAGACAAGGCTTGATGGCCACCTGGGCAGGGAAGCCGATGCGCGTCCTTGTGGAATGGGTTGCACAACAAGTTAGTCTTCAACAAGTCTGGCTAGTGCACCTTGGCCTATTGCAGTGTTTCTCAACCTTGGCCACTTGAAGATGGGTGGCTGGGGAATTCTGGGAGTTGAAGTCCACACATCTTCAAGTGGCCAAGGTTGAGAAACACTGGTCTATTGGGTAAGATCGGAGATTTGGGTCGATTCACTCAGTGAGTGTTAAATGAGCAATGTGTGATGTAAACGCAGCTGAGCATTGAGTCAGTCCTCTCAGAGACTCTGTGGTTTGTGTGAATGTACATCTGTGGGGGGTAAAGAAGTCCAGATGGCTGCTGCAACTACATGGTTGAAGCCCTACATGATGTTGGGGTTGTAGAATTCCCTGATGGGATCTGAACTGAATACAATTTTCTGGCCACGAGAGGGCAATATTGTTCATCTCTTTTTGGCCTTCCAGAGTCTGTTGTGGCTCCTCTCCTTTAAAAGTTGGGAGCAAGGGGGAATTTCTGCAAATGTAGCGTTTGGGATCCCTGCATGTCAGAAAGGAAGGGAAGAAAGCTAGGGAAGGCTCAGAAGACCCAGAGGGAATTGCAATCTCATTATGGTGTTTAAGGCTGGAGATCACCTTTGAGTGTGTTTTTAGCCAAGGCTCTGCTCCCGTCATCCTTCTCATACGCAAAGAGTTGCTGGTCCAGAGTCGTGAGCTGGACTTTGACTGGGTCAAAAAATAATTGGTCGACTGATCTGTCAAATAACCCTCTGATAATGGCCAGATACTCTTAAAGTGAATGTTATTAAAACCAAGTCATCAGTCGGTTCAACATTTTTCTCATTAACAGAGCAGTTGCTGCAAAAGAATGGAATCTTTTCCAAAAAAAAAACCCAGTTATGAAACAAGGTCAAGTCTTTGGGAGGCTGCATGAACAGTCTTGAGCGTGCGTTGGCTTTCTTCTGGGGTGTGCTTTGACATCCAATCTAGCCTATGGCCCTGGGAGCTTTGAGGGTCTCCCATCCAGGTGCAGACTGACTCCAACCCAGCTTAGCTTCCAGGATCAGCTAGGTGCTGCCCTCCCGGCAGAGTCACTGTGGAATAATGTGATTTTAAGATGGCTAGAAGAGGGAGAGCCAGTTTGGTGTAGCGGTTGAGGCACTGGACTGGAAACTGGGAGACAGTGAGTTCTAGTCCTGCCTTGGGCATGAAGCCCGCTGGGTGGGGCCGGGGCCAACCACTTCTGGAAAAACCTTGCCCAAAACTGCAGGGACTAGTCTGGGCAGTTGCCAGGAGTCAAAAACTGATTTGAAGGTGCACGGACAGAAACGGTTCAGTTAAGATGAAGAACCCGTTCTTCACTTGTTTTTACGGAGAATAGCCAGGATCATCACACAGTTAATTTAAAAGAAAGGGAATTAAAATAATTGTTTTAAATCTGCTTAATTCCTGTTTCAACAGTAATTTTTAAAGATATTTGTGTGAAATAATAGCAGACTATTTTCCACTATTAGTTCCTTGTTCTTACATTTGTTATTGGTGTTCATCCACAATCTGGGTCATTTGGTTTCAGCTTCAACCACTGAGGTTGGGAAATTAGGATTTGTGATTTACCTTGTTGTGTCAACCTGGCCTATTGCAGTTCATTCAGGAAATACACTGTATAAATGTAATTCATTAAAATAAATGCACTTTATTCAATTAATGTAATTCCTCAATTTAATTTAATTTTTACAATTGAAAATTCAGTAAATGGTGTAAATTTAATTCAATAAATGAAACCGGTGGTGGCTTGGGGCTCTTGCCAGCATAGCCGGCTGTCTGCAGAACTGCAGCAATGTCGTAAGGGGAGCCTTGATGGACAGCTGAGGGGGAAGCGGTTCTTCTCTGGTCTCCGCAGGGGAATGACGCCATAATGATTCTTTAAAAAGAAGATGTTGAGTCACCAAGCTGAGATTCTTGGCTTTGTGGGGTATTTGATAATGGTCATAGAAGGGAAAGAGGGACGCCATATAAAGGCTCCATTTCTGGAGGGGCCAAAATGCATTTCCTCTTCTCTTTCTCTCCTAGCTAGTCATTGCTTCCTCAGCGGTTCCCCGAGGTGGCTCCAGTTGTGTTGCCATTGGCCTCAGCACAAAATGGCAGAAGAGTTGTAAAATAGGCCCCAGCAGTGATGCTAAAGCGGATGTTTCTGTTGTTCCCCACAGTCGCTGGACTCCGGCATCACCTTAGTTACAAGATGTCTTGCATGGGTTTGACAAGCCTCTATCTAGCAAAAAATGTATTCGAGCTTTGTGTGGACCTCGTCTGGCTCTCAGGAGCAACCTGCGAGTGATGTCAGTTGGATATTTTCAGAAGGGTGGCATTTAGCTTCAAGAAAGAGCAGCTTCAGGGCTGTGAACTAGAATTCCTTCTTGATCCAGGTTGGGACATTTCACTGGTTTTCTGACTTTAAAAAAGTCACCCACTTCCTCTTGTGCAGGGCTCTGGTTTGGAATATATTTGTGGTCAGGTTCTTGCAAGCTTCCTGTCTTCAAAACTGAAAGCAGTCAGGTTAAAACCAAAAATCACTTGTGGTCTCAGTTTCCTTGTGGATAATATCTGTTCTCATGAGTCTGTGTGGCCATATACATTTTATTGGTGATAAAAGTTAAATATTTATATATTTCTGTTCTAGGTGAGACATGGAAACAAATGTTTGGTCCCTGAAAAATGCCCCTGTTTCCACAATGGACAAGACTATGCTCCAGGACAAACAGTGACAAAAGATTGCAATACCTGGTAAGGAATTAACCTCTTAGTCATTGGTCTCCCATTGGACCTTAAAAAATAATCCTTTTAAGGCACTGTCCATAAATGTTCACATATTTTTCAGGTGCTGTAGGCAACATGTAAACAAATGGAGAGTCAACAGAGGCTATTTAAAGCAATCATTTACTGAATAGCGTGTTACTTTTCTCCTTCCCCCTTAGCTAGAAAAGGAGAATGAGAATGACATAGTGTTGGGCAGAGGAATTAACCTGCCTTGTGGTCCACCAGGTCTCCTTCAGTTTGGGTAAAGAGAAGCATGCTCTCTGCACTAGTCCTGGGTCCTGTTTTTTCAGAGCAGAGTGACTCCTGCAATGCCGTTATCCAAGGCCTTGGATAGTAGAAAACTGCTTTGTCCGACTCCTTAACTCCCTGCTTACAGAGTGCAGGAACACCATCTCCACAGGGAAATGTGGACTTTGTCATCAGGTTGGCTCCGAAGTTCCCTGAGATATCATAGGCAAGACCCACAGGTCTCCTGGGAACGGATTTAGGGGTTTTGAATCCCAAGAAATCCAAGGGAGGTCAAGCTCCCTCTAGACTCTCTTTCTTCAAAATAAAATAACATCCTGCAGAAGACCTGGGGGAAGTGCACTTTAAAAAAAACTGCATGAAGTTGTCAAGGAACCTCTTCCAGCTTTGTTTAGCCTTTAAAACCTGTTGTGTTTTGAGCAACATGGCTGTTGGCAGAGGTTCATTTCCTCTGGCGCTTTTTGGAATGACCAAGTCACTCTAGCTGGCACAACGGAATCAGACGTGTTCCTCGCTGAATGGTTGGGGGCATATTTGACCATCCAGCTGAAAAATATGGCCCACTAACGAGGATTAAGTACACACCGCTTGTCCAGAAGTTATGGTGTTTCAGGCTATTGTGTTTTCTCCAAGGCAGAGGCATAACTTTCATCCTAGTATCAAAATACAAAACAGGCTTTTGATGACCTACAAAACAGTAATAGCTGCTGGTCTTCTGCAGTACTTGCCGTGCTCGAAAATGGGAATGCACCGAAAACATCTGTGATGGAAAGTGTTCGGTCGTTGGTACAGCTCATTATTTGACCTTTGATGGGCTGAAGTACAGATTTCCTGGCAACTGTCAGTACGTGCTTGTTCAGGTAAGATTCGGGATAGGATGCCGTAATGGGAGATTCTGAGAGTAAAATTACGTAGCGCTACAATGAAAATGTTGTTTTTCTTGAAATGCTTCAGAAATTCTGTCAGAGGTAATAGACTTCACTGCAGATTCCACCTCAGGTTATGTTGCTGGGGATCTTCAGGGAAGAGCAGATGTTTGTGCTCTTCACTGTCAACCTCTGACAGGAGGGAGCGAGGCAGGAGAGCAGATCCACAAAGGTCAGTGCTTGAATCCCAAGAGTGTGCCCAAGAAATCCGAAGGATTAGATTTTGATTTTGAGGCCACCCAGCCTCCAAGGCTCCGAGGGGCTTACAAAGGTTAGAGTCATCCAAGTACATATAACGTATCAATAACCCAGACTACAACAGGGGCAAGTCACTTGCGTATCCCACATTTAGACAGTTGGCACAACATCCTGCCTCAGTGCCCGAGAGAAGAACGAGGATATCAAAGGTTATAGTTGTTTCTCCCAGGTAGACTGTTGAATGACAAGGAACCCACCAATGTGCTTACAGGTTTGTCACCTGTTGAGTGTGTCTCTTCCTCTAGTAACTCTGCCTGGATTTGAAGAAAGTGGTGAGATTCACTGCTGCTTCCAGGCACCTGGGTCCTCCTCCCAAAGCTGGAGAAAAGAGTGGGCTTCCTTAAATTTTGAGGTGAAATCCAGAGGCACTTGGGAAATACCAAGATGTCTGATTGCCCGCTGAGTGGTCTGAAGCTCTGCAGAAATGTCTGGATTCTGACACTCCTCCCTCCAAATCTCAGGAAAATAGCCACTGCAGAATAAACAAACCAACCCTTGGACTCTTTACCAGAATCCTGGATGGGGCATCAGCCCTGTTCAAAGCAGGGCAATACTCGTCTAGCTGCAAGACAGTCAGGAAAATGGCTGCCCAATTGCAATTTTGGGGGTGACCAAATGGGTTCACTTTTAATCCAGAGGAACCTCTACATGTATTACTTTATACAAGAATTTTTAAAAGCTTATATAAGAATTTTTTTTTTAATTAGCTAAACCTGAAAGTGTGAGACTCAGATCAAGGAAGTTGGGATTCCAGTCTCCTCTCGTTTGATTTGCAATGCAATACATTGAGAATTACTTTCCTGAGCAGTAACTCTACGTAGTCTGGGCAAGAATACTCCTCGCTCAATCTAATGAGAACAGGAGAAAAAGGCTGGCCTTGCCTCTCTGTATTTTTGCATCCCCACGTACGTTGCACCACCCTGCAGTGGTGTGTCAGTGTGTATTCAGTGGGAGGTAATTGAAGGAGGTCAAGATTTCATTTTACTTGGGGTGAAACCAAAGACCTGCCGTGAGACGCCTCAGACTTTCGTGGCAGCCTCTGGCCTGGACGTCTTTGAAGGCGGAGTTCTGTGCGCCTGTTTCAAACGCTGCTGTCGGTCCTTATTCCTTTCCAAGGACCACTGCGAGGATGGCGATGCTGGGTCCTTTCGGATACTGGTTGCCAACGAGGGATGTGGCTTCACGGGAGAGACGTGCACGAGAAGGATCACTGTTTTGTTTGACAACGGGGAGATTGAGCTGCACAGCGGAGAAGTAAGTTCACCCGCTCCTCGCTGCTTCCACAGGGTCGCGCGCTGAAGAAGCGGCTTTGAATGCCTTTTTGACAAGGGTCACGAGGGGGCTTCTGCTGAAGCCAGTCGGAGCCCTTGGAGCAGGAGATTTCTTCAGGGGATGGAACCGTCTGAGGATGACGGCCGTATCCAGGCCGTCTTTACGAAACAATTCGGGGCCTGCAGAGCTTTATCTGAGTTCTCGGGTGGTAGCCCAGGACCTTGTTTTCCACACTAGGACTTGTGTTTGGGTCATAAGGAGGGACAGCACTTACGCATCGACCTACCCTGCCCCACACACCCTCCCGTATCAGTATAACAGCTGCTCGGTTCTTGATTTACCGTGGGACGTCCTCTCCTTTTGGGGCGCCAAGACAGGGTATCTTTTGTCTGGGTATCTTTTCAGCAGCCACCTTTTTAGGCTGGTCTTCCACGGCCATTCACTCCCCCTAACATTTTTATTAATTTCAAGTAACTCCGGACGGCAAACAATCCTAAAGCAGTAGAAATAATTAAAAACAATACGAAAATAAATATATATAGCAGCCAAGAAGATTACCATAATAATTATCAATATAGCCAAGAGACGTTTCCCTTTAATACATTGTTCGGGCTTTGGCTGGATTGTAAACCAGGATTTTTTACCATGTGAGTTTGTATAAAAATGGTTTTTTTCCTTTTTAAAAATTCTGAAACAAACAACTGGAAGGACATAACGAAAATCACATAAAATATATTAAAAAATGCAACAGTGCTGGCTGCCCTAGATTCCGTTTTTTATTCTACTCAGGACACGTTTGCCTTTAAGCAGGATTTGGAGAGAGCTGTCCTAGCAGCCCTTCACAAGCTCTTGCTGGCCTTGCTTTTTCTCTTCTCGTTCCAAAATTATGAATGGATAACCTGAAGAACGGATTCCCTGAGCACGCCTAAGGCTGGATTCAGATGTGGGGAGGCCCCAGGCAGAGATTCTATTCGGCACATGCTCATAGGGGAATAAGGCCACATAACAGCTGAGCCTTGAGGGCCAGTTTGGGGTAGTGGCTAAGGTGCTGGGCTAGAAATCAGGAGGCAGTTCGTGTCCTCCTTTGGGCATGAAAGCCATCTGGGTGACCTTGGGCCAATTGCTCTTTTTGGTTTTGGTTTTTTGGAGGATTAGGTATGCACAACAGATCAGTTGTCTGAGTTGAGGTGCTTCTGCAGCATGGCCGGCCAGATGCAGTTAGGTCAACTCTCTGAACGACTGGGTCTTTGCGGGGGTCGAGTCTAACTCCATGAGGGTTATTTGACTGGTTTGGTTGAGTTTTTGGTGTTCCCCATACATATTAACTCTCCCACTTATCTAATTTAGCACGTTGTGGGAGCAGAGCCATGATATTTGGAAGACTTGATTAAAAGCGGCTCCTGTGTATGTCTTTTCTCAAAATGGAATTGCCATAAGGCAATGTTTCTTGCCCCCGGGAACATTCTGTTGTAAGCTGAAAGCAGATCCTTGCTAGAGGCTGACGTGGAGTCCCACGGTTGAAGGTCCTTTGTTTTTCCTTGTGAAGATTAATGTCCTGACACCTCCTAGAGAAGAAGGCAACTTGGAAGTCTTGAAATCTGGCCGCTACTATATTCTGATATTGGGACAAGGAAGAATCTCCCTGACTTGGGACCAAAACATGGGAATTACTGTTATCTTGAAAGAAAACTACAAAGTAAGTCATTTCTGATTTATTACCTAGTAATTTTTTTTGGGGGGGGGTGTGGATTTGAGAGTTTAGCTTCTAGAAGAATCTATGGCAAGATGGACAGTTCCCCACAGAGACTCCTCTGGTGCTTCCTGGAATGAGTAGGTAACTTCCTAATGCCAGGTTATTTGGACTTCATTTCAGCTTGTTTATCCTTATCCAGCTTATTGTTAAACCCAGGACACGATCAGGAGTGTGCACATATCCGTGGAGCTAGGTGCAAAATGCAATAGAACAAAGTCGGTTTGGGCTCTGCACACACGGAAAACGATTTGAAGGAGCTCCTTAAACACTGTGAAGGCCCATCACTTCTCTGGCATTAATTAAAGCTGCTGCAGTGATGCGTGAAACCGGATTCAGCGGGCAGCATTGAAGGGAGCCTGGATAAGATTTCCCAGCTACCCTGAAAAAGATGCAGCTGGTTTAAGACAGGCGTCTTTAATGATTTGATCCACAGCCTTAGTTTCTGTGGCTAACATTTCCTGGCAGATGCTGAGTGATATTCAGGACAACATGGAATGTAAGATAAATAAGATGCTGTAGCGCGTGGTTTTATTCACCTAAAATGTGAAGGATGTATTTTCATAAGTAAAATTGTCTCCAGCACTGAGAATTGTAATCCTCGAAGATTTGGCTGAGTTCAGCGTTTTCAGTGCTGCTATAAAAATTAACTTGATACCTGAACCTGCTGTGTGCCCATAGAGGCTGTATCAGGGTGCTCAGGTGAAATGCTGCATCCTCGGGTCCTCTGATCCAGCGCTATAGAATTAGTAGCCGTCTTCCTGTTGAAGGAGGAGGAAGATTACATTTCTTTGGCTCGTTCCTTGGAAGGATCAAGTCTGTGGCCTCTGCGGGAATTTTGATGGCATCCCAAACAACGACCTGAGAAGCAGCCGGAGGCAGATCGAAGTCGATCCAAGCGACTTTGGGAACTCGTGGAAAGTTCACCCGCAGTGCGCTGACGTCCGAAAGGTATTCGTAAAATGCGTCGCTCCTCTGCCAGGACGGGGGTGGGCGGGCGGGCGTGCCTGCCTCCGTTCCTGGATGCTTTAATGTCATCCAGGGCAGGGAAACCCGCAGCTAATCTTAGAGATAACCCCAACTCTGTCGTGGCCGATGATAAACAAGGATAGCTGCCTGGAAATAATCTGGAGAACTACCCAGTCCTGTGAGACTCTGAATGGAGGTTAATCACTAGATCCTTCAGAAGGCCAGAATACAAGTGGATTGGCAGGAATTTTTTTTTGCACTGGAGAGTGCACCAATCGTAGTGATTTTGTTCCTTAAAGACCTAGTAGATCATCTTTATATTATTCGTAACACAGAATGGTGTAAATGAGTATTCTAATGCCTCAGGGTAAGTGAAATGGAAACTAATAGAAGCGAATATGCGCAGCTCAGGGTTGAACTGTGGGGTCCGTGGGGTTCTCTGAGCTTGATTGCTTCTTGCCAGCGTTTCGTTACCCGGCTAGGTCACACCTTCAGTGCTAGAAGGGAGTGGGGTTGGCTCCCTGTTTAGATATTGTGGCCTGCCCTGCCAGTGTTGGTGGGGTGTGGGTTTTCTTTTGTGTTGTTTCCCCCCCCCCGAAATAATACAAAACAAACCCACACCCCACCAACACTGGCAGGGCAGGCCACAATATCTAAACAGGGAGCCAACCCCACTCCCTTCTAGCACTGAAGGTGTGACCTAGCCGGGTAACGAAACGCTGGCAAGAAGCAATCAAGCTCAGAGAAC